ATTATCACCAACAAAACCAAATCTATGAAGATGCTCATTAGTGTATATGGCTCCATGCAATAATTTAAATTGAAATTCACGTTGTTTTCTAATGAGTATAGTAATTCTTGGTCTAACAAATATTTCTTTTAATTCTTTATCTATAAAATCATAATCATTTTGCCCATCCCTTACCTGCAAATCATACGTTTGTTGCAGTGCTTTGATAAAATAATCATAGATTGTTCTTGAACCCACATCCACAAACTGTATTTTTTACTAGAAATATGGAAATAAGTATTAAAGCTTATCAAATCAACCTCGAGGAATTCTATTAACCCTGAATCATCCTTCCATAACCTGGGTATCGCATCATAAATATCAATAATCATAAGCAAATTATATTACCTTTCATACCGAGGTTCATAAAATATTTAACAGACTTAACATGGCCTTTCTCAACCAAGTGATTCAGTTGAACAATCCCTTTTTCAAACAAGTATCTATCAAATATACTTTTTCCATTTATACATATATTCTGATTATTAAAAATAATTGGATCAATATAACCCTCCAAATATCTTAAATTACTTGTCTCTTGCCATGCTTGCAACATTTCCATATAGTATGTTGGAATATCTAAAACGAGTTTAATCTTTTTTAAATCATAATCATAACATAACATAACATAGTCATAATCATGACATACTGTATACGTGTAGGCTATACAGTTATACATATATACAAAAATAACTCATGCATTATGCTGAAATAGAAACAATCACTTTTTTTTCTTCTTCTTCATCTTCCTTTTTTTTTTCTCTCTCTCTCTTTTTTGGTAATCTCAAGGGGGGGGGCGGTATTTGAACAGGCCATCCCCCCTCCTTCAACCGAGGGGGGGGGGGGGGAATGCATGAGTAGAACATTTGTCACATGCATGCATATTCACCTGTTATACACATTTTTACATAATAGCAGTGAAGGGATGTTCCTTTGTCTACCACAGCAATAATAATGAAGGTAGAATGAGGAACTGTATATTTTGTCCTCTTTCTTTGTCCATTCTTAAAAAAAAAATCTTTTAAAGAAAATATGAAAAAGGGTGCATTTTTGTAAGTTCATTTAGGGGATTCAATCACATATTTGATAACAAAAACACCAAAAAACATACAAACAATCAAACATTAAAATAGTTTGTTGGGACTAAAAAGAAAAAGTACAAAATAAAAGCGGGATTTTCGAAATTACGCATAGGGAAATAAAATGTTGGGGGATTTTTTCGCTCTCTCTTCTAAAAATCGTGGATCTGTTCTGATGTGTAAATGGGATTGATTCTACTTGAGCTTAGACTTGTGGAAAAAAAGAAGAACAAAATGTTATAGAGTTTATTCCGCTGTTTTGTTCTCTGACAGTCACTTGCAATAAGACCATCTTTGCATCAGAGGGTTCGTTCACATCTCCTAATCACCCAGGGAACTATCCGACCGATATTAACTGCATCACCAGAATTAAAGTTAATCCGGGTTACTGGATTGATCTGACCTTTCAAAGCTTCGAGTTAGAACCGGCTCCTGGCTGCATATTCGACTATGTAGAGGTAACAATACTGCAATATAGCTCTCTGTTGTGGTTTGTTCATACTTACATTATAAAACGTTTCCGATCGCGTTCTCTCTCTCTCTCTCTCTTTCCAGTCTCCTTTTTTAAAAATAATCTTTCTCTGCTCTTTTAATTTCAACTATTCTTCTCTCCATCTTCCATTTCCTGTTCTCGATTATGCTTTATAAATGCTAGTGGTATTCTAGTAATTTACTCATTCTATTTTATTAACTTAAAAAATTCATCAAGAATATTATAACACATTTTCAATACACTTGGCAAATTATAAAGAGTTCAATTGTTTCAAATGAATCATAATCGCATAAATTCGGTTCCTCTCTCTTTCTACGCAGGTATTTCAGAATCGCGAAGACGGAACATGGACATCAATTGCAAGACTTTGTGGAACTCGAAAATTTCGTTCCTCGGTAGTAGTTGAAGGTAGCTCTGCTAGCGTCTTGTTCCATAGTGACGTCCATGGGTGTCGATCTGTAACTGATACCATTGTTACCAGGCGGGGTTTTGTTGCCAATTTTAGTGAACTTGATCCCTAAAAGATCTAAGTAGGACAAATTATAAAGGCGTCATCAAAAACAATTTTCTGTAACGGAAACAAGTACTTAATTTCACAATACTAGTCATGGTTAGTTATCCAGGCTAGTCAGAGCCGGTTTTAATTTGTTGACAGATTAGGTGAGCTTGGTCCCTAAAAGAAATTAGTAAACTAAATCATGAAGGCGTTACGCAAAATTATTTTCCGTAATGAAAAAAGTAATTATTTTAAATTAGTAGTCATGGTTAGTAAGTTATCCAGGCCAGTCAAAGGCGGTTTTAATTTTAATTAGTAAAATAAATCATGAAGGCGTTACCCTAAATAATTTTATGTTACGAAAACAAAAGTACTTAATTTCACAATACTAGTCATGGTTAGTTATGTAGGCCAGTCAGAGATGGTTTTAATTTGTTGCCAATTTGAGTGAGCTTGATTCCTAAAAGAAATTAGTAAAATAAATCATGAAGGCGTTACCCAAAATGATTTTCCGTAATGAAAAAAGTAATTATTTTAAATTAGTAGTCATGGTTGGTAAGTTATCCAGGCCAGTCAAAGGCGGTTTTGATTTTAATTAGTAAAATAAATCATGAAGGCTTTACCCTAAATTATTTTCTGTAACGAAAACAAAAGTACTTAATTTCACGTTACTAGTCATGGTTAGTTAGTTATCCAGGCTAGTCAGAGCCGGTCTTAATTTGTTGCCTATTTAGGTAGCTTGATCTTTAATTATGAACTATATGAACATAATCTCAGAGTCGTCATCTGAAAACATAGTTTTGTGGAAGGAAATCATCTAGTTTCTCCATAGTAGTTGAATAACATTCTACTAGTGTCTTATTTCACAGTGACATCATTGTTAACATACGTGGTCCTTCAGTGTTGCCAATTTGGTTAATGATTGATCTTAACAATAAACTATATATCGACACAACCACAAAGGTGATATACTAACACACATTTTGATATTGATGATATAAGTTCCTGACATATGTACGCGTATTATGTGAATACAACAAAAAATCTCTATTACTGTTGAGATCACAATTCGTATCATGATTCATATTTGTATACTAATATCAACATCAGTGGCGTACGCAGGATTTTTTCAATTTGAAATCAGGCCGAAAATTTCGCAACGACTCAGCCAGCCGCTGAATAAGCGGACACTTTTTTTGACAGTAAGGTCACCTTTTTAGGTCAACCATTGGCATAATTTTTTTTTTTTTTTTAATAATTATATTTTAAAAAAAAAAGGGGGGGGGGTTTCCTCCAAAATACACGCATTAAAAATACCAAAGGGGGGGGGGGGTTAACGCCCCCCCCCCTACGTACGCGCCTGATCAACATACTAACCGGTAATCATAGCACCACACAAAATTCGGTCTGAAATACATCATATTATCAGACTTAATATCATTAATAACAACAATTATAAACTATTTACAAAACATCTCTTCCACAAGCAGTATAGAACAAATCATATTCTGGGTATATATTTTGTTTAACTTTAAGATCTCGAATACACTTTCTTGAATACTATCAAAACGAGACACTACACACAATACTAATACATGAATAATTTCCTGATAATAATTTACAAGGTGTATAATAATTCAAGTACGAATCAATATGATAATAATGATATATTTTATTTGTTACATTTGAGTACTGAGTATGATAATTCCATTGTTTAATGAGGTTAAACAAATGAATATAAAGAATGGATGTGGAGTTTGTTGGTGTACCAGTATAAAGTAATACTAAAGCTTAAAGGCCCACTGCACTACTTGTAGCTACTTGCGCCCTCTATATAACAAGCCATGCCTAATCGGTGACCATTGGTCCCCCATGATCCTCTTTTTCTTGTGTTAACTGAGAGCTGAGTTGATGAGATAACTACCTGTCCAGTGACCTTGCAGGGCAGTCTAATCCCTCCTGTAAACTATGGCAGATACGCTTTAATCATTATATTAGAAATTCCGTTAATGGATTCCGAATAATGATATTTGGAAACGGAAAGAAATATAATACTGCATGTGCATATTTCTTTAGATGTTATTACTCTGCTTTGATCGTCAAATCATGCATACATTGTTCATTTGCCTTAACTGAATTTTCAAATAAACACAGGAGTATAATATATAGGCAAAAGCCTGAGGTTACTTTGGAAGCGCCATAAGGACATTTTATCACAATGCGATATGAAAATAGTATAATTTTACAATTATCATAAACATGATTTCATGGTTTCATCATAATTGGACTTATTATGCATTACTGTGTTTTAGATAGATTGAATAGTGCCACGTTGCATAGCAGTGATGGTAACTTTGCAACGAATGGTAACTTCCATAGAAACCTGACTTTGACTGGCTGTTGAGTGATGTTGCCATTATATGCTAGTAAATATTGATGGAAAAGTTACCGTCACTGGCAGGTTTTATGCAACGGGCCCCATATTTCCTTTTTTGAAAAAGAGAATTTTCAAGTTCTTTCAATGAAATTTGAATAGGCTTTGATATCTAATTAAGAAAGATGGCACACAATATGCTTTGAATGTATCACAGTTAAATTATATATGTCGTGCCAATAAGGGAGTTTACAGATACAATCTGCGCATGGGCAGATAAAGGTCATTTGTACCAAAAAGGTAAAACCCACAGAGATGAATACTGGATATGCGCTCATGAAAGTTATGTAACATTATTCATTTATGCACCAACGGTACGTTATATGATACGCAGGTGGAATTATTCTTTTCAAGAGGGCAAACAAAAGGTATTTATGAAGCACATCTAGGACTTTCGCAGTTATTATTCTAATATGCTCAAAGTGGAACTTCTCCATGTGTAAAAAAATCTGTGGATATTTGGGGTCATTTGTACCATGTGCTATCTGTAAACTCCCTTATTGGCAGAAATACTTTTCTTGTGATTGTTGGGAAACACTTTCCATCAATACACATTGTATTTCTACACCTGGAACCGTCTTATAAAGAGTTGCAATTAATCGCAACTTATCTGCAATTTATATCAATCGCAACTGTGTACATAAGAGATAGGAGACTGCAAATTCGCGATTGGTTGGAGGACTTTCAATTAATTTGGATCAATCGCCACTCTTTATAAGACGGAGCCCTGGTCAGAAAAGAATAAAAGATTTGATTTCAGGCAATGCTCTAAAATTACATCCAGTATAGAATTGCAAACGCCTTGTTTAATTTGTGTTGTTTTCTTTTTGTCTCCGTGTGCTATGGGCGTCCACAGATATCTCAGTTCTGTAGCCTAAAAGAAAGTGCTGTGAAAAGAGTAAAGTGCGGATTAAGGAACCACGGTGAAAATGAGTCCGTCTTGCTAAATTACGTTTAAATGCATTTGTGATGCGACTCAGAATACTGTTCTTGATATATACAGTCTGCTGAAACATGGAATGGTGTTGAATAATTCTTGTTCAACATTAACTCAACACCCTTCTGGCTCTCCGCATACACTATCATGTTTATGCCTATGTTTATCTTGTATCTCACACCAATGGGAAACAAATGTATGTTTTATCATGGACAATAAATATTAAATCTTCAAATTGGCAATCATCTTAAAGAATTTCGAGTGAAAATAAAAATAAAGCAGTTAAACCTGCTTTAGTGACCATCTGTCTAAAAAGACCATATTTTTGTTTGTATCCCTTGAAAGTAGTTTCTCAGTGAGACATGTACTAAAGAAAACTGAAGATAAAGACCACCTGCCTATAAATAATAAAGACCACTTTTCTTGTCTCCCTTGGGTGGTCTATATAGACAGGTTTCACTGTATTAAGGATTTATACAAGTTGTGAAAATCAATTATTTTGAACTAGAAATGTTCGAACTGTGATGGGAAGCAATGACGAATATCGTCATATGGAAATGCTTCGTATGGAAACCATCTTGTTTTGATTATTGGTGTAATAAAAAACACAATTAAATTGCAAAATGGTTAACATACATTGTGGACTGATTTGTGGACTTATAAAATCTTCGTTTTTGTTTATACTATGCACTCTATACTTACACTTCATCTTCGTAGTTCTTTGGCGGCGCTACGGCGATGATCATTCTCAGTATTTGAGATCCCTGTCAGTGTAGAAGAAAAATCATTTATAAATATATTATTTCTTCAAATTTCATTAAGAACACAAATGCATACACCTTAAAAATCAACCTGGTAAAGCACGTCATTCTTTAAAATTCGATAGGAAACTCTTTTTTTCTTTTAAAAAAAAAAACTTTTAGCTTAAGAGTCTTTTTCTTCTCAAAAATTAAAAACTGACTCAAAAGATGACATTTAATATCACCGAAACGAACTACGATCATAAACTTTTCTAACAAGATTTGTGGCGTGTTTGTAAACTATGGGGTACTGACAGACCCTGTGCACACGAGGCGTTATTTATTGACGCAGGAATGCGTCGCTAACTCCCGTGTTCTTTGATCTGCAAGCTCAGCGAGGCCTCATAATTAAAATGATTATAAAATGTGCTATGAGCTCATAACTGCTTTTACAGGCTTAATGAGCGAGTTCGTAATTAGGATTTGCGCATGGGCAGATAAAGGTCATTCGTACCCAAATTGTAAAACCATTAAGACGAATACTTGGATCGTGCTCATGCAAGTTATGTAATCAGTATTCATTTATGCACCAACAGTACATTTATCTGATACACAGGTGGAAGTATTCTTCTCAAGAGGCAAACAAAAGGTATTCATGAAGCACCTCCATCACTTTGGCAGTGATTATTCTAAAATGCACAGGTGGGAAGTATCCATCGTGTCTAAGATCTGTGGGTATTTTGGGGTCATGCGTTCCAGAGCTATTTACGAACTCGCTCATTAGCGCAGGTAATAACGCATTCAAAATGGCGTCGTGTGAAACGGATAATACGCTGAAAACTATCAAAGCGTTTGGTGTTATTTTCCCTTTTTTATGTTTGCGTTAATCATACTCACGTCAAGTGTTCCCTTCATGTGGTCTTTGAATGTAGTCTGCGCCGTTTCCAAGGGGACGTCAATCAGCTTCTTTCCCTCCAGCATTAAGATCTGATCACCCTTGCTAATGGCTCCTATAATATTGCAATAAGAAATGATTTAATGAGTTCAGTGGTTTCATCATATCATCTTGGAAAAGCGGATTGTCGTAGATTCGAGTCCTGGGCCACTGGGGCCCGTTTCACAAAACTTGTCATCAGTGACTCATGATAGTTTTTGTTGTAAGCTAGTGAAATCCTTGCTTCTGATTGGTTATCAGCAGATTAGTCACTGAGTTTTGTCATTTTTCATTGAAAAAATGTTTTGTGAAACGGGTCCCTGGTACGGCACTAATGCTTTTGGGCAATACATTAACATACATTTGCCACTCCATACCCAGGAGAGTAATTGGGACCTGGTAGAATGACGAAAATCATTTTGGTCGTAATTGCCATGGGCCTTTATAGTCCTTATGGTAAGAATACTCCCCACGGGAGATGGTGCACACATTGTTTCGCGTGAAAGAAATCCACCACAGCGGTTCGAGTCCCAACGCGGCACTAATTCCTTTGGCAAGACACCTTCATTTGCCACTTTCCACCCAGGTTTCAAATAGGTATTGGTATATGAGAGAATTCCGTGAATGACGTGAGCACCGAAATATTATAGCGCCTTGAGCGCCTTGCGTGATGGATAGTTATATGTGCGATAAACGTAACCTATCATCATCATCATCATGGTCATCATCATCACAATCATTACCATCATCATCAACATGTGATTTGACTTGATTTTTTTAATGTTTATTCAATCAATCTCACCCTGTACACGTACACATACAGGCGGTTGCACAAAGTTTACGATTAATTTAAAAGCGAGTGATCAATTCGAATCAATCGCAACACTTTATACCAGGGTACCCAGTATCAAATCCTTATCTGGGACCAGTCGTATAAAGAGCAGTGACTGGTCCGAATCAATCGCATGATTGCAGTCTCCTATATATCTTATGTACATAGCTGCGATTGATTTCAACCCTTTATAACTATAAGACCCTATTTCACAAAATGACGTCACACATACCACTTTTAGCAGCCGCACCGCCCTCTAGCACCTCTGCTACCACCACCCTCCCAAGAAGGGGTGTATTTGAGCCCCCCTCGAGGTACATCTCTAGCGGTCCATCCTTCACGATCTCAACCTTTCTCAGAGTTCGATCATCAATCTGGCGTGTAGTGAACTGATGGTAACATATTGGTAAAGGTAAATAGCGAATTAATATAACAGGGGGGTATTTCACAAAGATCCTAAGTTGAACTTATCTCTAAGTTGGACTTAAAAATTATGGAAAGCCATTAGCATCTTTGAAAATATTTTGTAAAAGTTATTTTGAAAGGCATAACATGTTGATTCAAATCATTCATATTTTCTATCATCAAAGAGATTTCATGTTCTTGTTGTGGAATTTATAAAAAGTCTAAAATACTTGAATTTCTGCTTTTGAATATATTTCATTTTAAGGCTCCAATGGCTGTCCATAATTTTTAAGTCCAACTTAGTGTTAAGTTCTACTTAGGATCTTTGTGAAACACCCCCCTGAACTGTTTAGCACTACCTCAGCGAGTATTAAAACGTGATCTTGAAAATTGAACGATCAATTTACTCTTGTTGGCAAATCTGAAAAAAGAAGAAAGGGTTCTAAAAAAAAACTTTGGCTCTTCGGCAAAATTCGAAGTTGGAGGACCCATATTTTAAAGCAAATTCCCCTTCCTCCAAAATCCAAAATGGTCTGGCGATGCCACTTCACGCATATATTCGCATTCTTTCCAGAACCCAATTAAATTAAAAAATTCACGTCTAATCAAATAATAACAATCTCAGAGAATCCACCTTTATAGTTTTTGCTGTATCTCTCCTGATCAAATATAATAACTTGAACAATTTTACCCCTTTATTATTTTTTTCCTCCATTTCTTTGACGTTAGATTACAAAAATCCAAAATGCCGGAAAAGGGTATTCTTTTTAACGTGACACTTATCACCTATGGAGTTCTTGCTAATTCTCTCCCGACCAAACATGGTAACTTAAAAAGTTTTACCCTTCTACTATATTTTTCATTTCGTTGACGTTAGATTACAATAATTCATACAAGTTCCTCCATTTTCTCTGCAGTTTTCATTTAACGTAATTATTATCAATATTATTGGCGGATGACCTTTCTTCCCCCCCCACCCCCTACTTGACAAATGCGATATAACTGACTACTATATAGTATTCAGTATTCAGATTTTTTTTTAATTCTTTTTCAATTAAAGATCGATCAATCGATCTTATTTACTGGGTTTAAACCACAAACATGTTTCAATAATTTAATTTCTCCCAGGAAGCATTTTATTTATAAAAGTTATTGACCTATGGCGGACTAATGAATATTAATAAGTCGAATTGAATCAGGAGAGCTTGGGTATTTGTTTCTAGTTCATCTTGACTGTGCCATGGACCAGTGCTGGCCTGGTGGAATAAAGTTGCTGCCCGGCAAGCGGCAAGCAGTAGATGGCAGGTTCATGTGCCTCTGGTCCCAAGATTTTTTTCTGACTTGTTTTTCAATTACAGATCGATCAATCGATCTTATTTACTCGGTGTAAGCCACAAATATGTTTCAATAATTGAAATTTCTCCCAAGAAGTATTACATTTATAAAAGTATTCAGTATGCTGCCAATTTGATAATGTTACCATGGAGTAAGGATCACTGGTCCACCACTCTGGCAGATTGGAAACAGGTTTGGGCTTCGGTTTGGGCTTCGGTTTCTCATCCTGTATAAAAAAAGAAGACATTTATTGCGTTTTAATTAACTTGACAAAGGATAAAGATATGATATGCTATAAAGATCGCAAGTATATGCCATGTCTATTCTTATGGAAGTATTTTGATAAGACAGGCTCCAAGAAATTAGCTTCCTGTTTATTCATCAAGAACAAAGACAGAAAACATGCACTATCATTTTAATATTACTCGAATCTGTATGTTTACTGTAATCCCTCTGTTTATTTTATTTTTCTGTGTGTGTTCATAACTCAATTCATGTTGAAAAAACGTTATTTGGCTAACGACCTACTGGAAGAAAATCAAATGTAATTGAATGACTATGACGGTTAGCAAATCAAGATAAACCATTAACATATATTTGATATTTGATACATTACGCTTAAGATGACTGTTTTCAAAGTTCTAATAGCGATCAAAATTAAAACTTATAATATGAATAGCAGCATGCATAACACATGATACAGCGAAGCAGGACATCTGGGACAACTATCCCGGAATAACATCTCTCCGTTAACTACACATGATAAACACACGTAGGATAAATAGTAGCTTTTCGAAAGCCCTTCGAGGACAATATTTTCTGACTGCTACCCCACACCAAGACAATTTTACAGGTTAAATATATATGAGACAGACTGATATCCAGGGAAATTGTTGCAGAGGTAGTTGTTTGCGTGTTATATGGAATTATTACAAATACACACATGATTAATTAAAAGAATTGAAAAAACATAACACACGTCAATGATTACGGATATACAAGTGAATAAACAGTATGTTTTAGGAGCATGCAATGAATCAGTTTAATTCATCACTTTAAAATCAGCTTCTTTAAAAAAAAACAATCTTAATGGGTGCCTCTAACTTTGGTTAAATCCCCTCCCCCTCCATTGGTAAGAATGCCATTAAAAAAAATTGATAAGCCTTTTCTATCTTGTATTCTTGTTAATCTGATTTTTCCTTCTTCTTCTTCTCCTCCTCCTCCTTCTTCTGCTCTTCATTCTTCCTCAACTTATATCTTTTCTTCGCCATTTTTCTCTTTCTCCTCTCTCTCTCCTCGACCCTATTCTTCTGTTCTGTTTTAATCTCCCTGTTTTTTCAAAATGCATATCAAGACTTCTCATTATTGTCCAGTTTGAAAAAAGTACGATAACAAATGAAAGGGAAGGGAATGTAAGCATCATTTATTTCAAGTGGAATATTGGTGAGTTAAGGGGTGATAACATATTGCTCCGGTTGTCTCATTTTCGCTCGCCAGCACAAACGTAGCTAGTTCGCCGTCACTAACCAACTAGAATGTTCCATTCTGTTGCAGGTTGTATAATTATGCCCTTGGGTATGTTTTTGAACCGGGTGTGCGGAAATGGTGTGTTGGGTAGGGGAAGTGAGAGTGTTCACGTGTGTGGTAATTGTATGTGTGTCAACAATTAAAGACTAATACATGACAGATGGCTTATCATAAATCTACAATGACGAGTAAACTGTGTACATCACAGTCCACAGATAAATGTGCCTTGAACGTATAGCAGACGGCAATCGGTGGATCAGACGACACTTGATAGTGATGAATTTTTAACGATTTTTTTCGGTAAAAGTCCATAGGCTAACATGTTAGGCTGCTGACTCTGACGATAGGGGGCGTTGTCAAATGAGACTAAACGGAGCTATATGATTGTTATGTTAGTAAGCTGTAAGTGTCTGATGACTATTAAACACGTGACACGACACAAACATATCACTTAGAAGCGGGTTGTTATACATTAGTCTTTTCAAAACATTTTGTTAATACTTTATACCGGACATCCCATTACAGCGGACATCAAATGTGCAATTTCAGCAGACAATAACTACTCTGCCGAACAGCATGCTCCTTCATACAATCGTTCATCACTTACAACCTCCTCATTGACCGGTTTATAATACGACCAATGAGTCCCAACCTCCAAACCGCCCTTCCGGATCGCATCGCCGGCACCACTCCCGGATACCACCGCCGTTGCCAGGGGAACGCCCGCATCCTTGATGAGAGGAGAAGGCGGGGCTGGTTCCATCTGGATAGCATCCTCCTGTTATGGGTGGATTGATAGGAGATGTTGATTAGCATATATTGAAGAAAACAGCATGAACTTGAACCATTTTTTGATAAGCATGGCATCACTATGAATATGACGGACAAAGAAAGAGGACAAAATATACAGTTCCTCATTCTACCCTCAACAATTGCTGTGTCAGACAAAAGAACTTCCCTTCACTGCTATTACGTAAAAATGTGTAGAACAGGTGAATATGCATGTGATACCTGTTCTACACATTTTCACATAATAGCAGGTAAGGGATGTTCCTTTGTCTACCTGAGGAACTGTATATTTTGTCCTCTTTCTTTGTCCGTCATATTCATAGTGCATGCAATCGTTGATGTAGACAAAGGGATAGTCTCTCGCATTTACACTACCATACGCCTCATCAGAGACGTCGTATGGTGTTTAAGGGATGCGTTACAAATTTAACCCTCTGATGAATGTTTCTAGTATTTGTATGGTTCTGAAATGCAGAGGAGCGCACAATTATATTACTAGATTATCATTATTTCGACCTCCTCTTCAGCATGTTCGGGTTAAAATACACAGAATGATCTCGACCTGATGCATGGCATATATCAAATGAGTCGGCGTATGCTGGTTCCGTCGTATACATTGGATACGCAACTGAGCCGACAAACATGCACGTTTATAAAATATATAATGGAAGACGAACTTCTACTTTCGGACATATGAATCATAAAGATCATATTACAATTATTTATTTTTTTTTAAATATAATTATTATTATTTTTTTTTTTTTTTTTTTATTATTATTATTATTATTTTTTTTTTATTTTTTTTTTTTGGGGGGGGGGGGGTCTCTACAACATGCCACAAGAACGCCCGTCACAAAACCTGTCAAACTTCACTATAATATAGATAAGAGAGACATTCAGTAGCAGATATTGACGTTGGTGCCACGTGACAACTTACCTTCATATTATATCTCTTCCATAATAAGGAAATTGAGCATGATAAAACAAAACGAGGAAGGAAAGAGAAAAATGGAGAGAGAGAGAGAGAGAAAGAGAGAGAGAGAGAGATAGAGAGAGGGAGGGAGAGTGGGAAAGGGGGGGGGGGGGTAAAGCGGAATATTTAGATAAGATAAGAGATAGCAATATCAAGAGAGGAAAACAGTGTGAAGGAAGGGAGAACAGAGGGAAAATTACAGTGGGAGAAAGAGGGAGAGAGTTAAGAGAGAGAGAAAGAGAAAGAGAGAGAGGGAAAGAGAGAGAGGGAGAGAGAAGGGAGAGCGGGAGAGAGAGAGGGAAAGAGAGAGAGGGAGAGAGAGAGAGAGAGAGAGAGAGAGATGGAGATGGAGACCATAGAAACAATATTTAGAGAGAAGAACCGAAGTGTGTCAACTGGAAAATCTTTTTAATACAATGGAATAAATACGGAGTAATTAAAACCGCGTTACTTCCATTACACCGCACTGATACACATACAAATGGACGCCCTATATACACCATAATATTGTTTCCACACTTTAACAGATAAATCATTTCATTGTGTTATATAAGTAATACGAGGTCCCCTTCTTCATCTGTTATTGATATTCAACAAAAGATTTCGAAATACATGACGCGTTAATAAATAATCGTATATATTTATGTATGTTTTGATTTGTCTTACTTACATGTAGCTTTTTTTTGTTTCACTATACCATGCTGATAGAGGCATGAGATTGCAATGGGTGGATTAAAATTAAATAAAATAAGTATAAAAAGTGACAAAGTTGCTGATGGAAGTGCTCAGTGCACTCAAGGAATAAGTCCTACCAGGTAAACCCGCTTACTACACCTGGGTTGAGCGTGGCAAATGTAGTTATTAGCCCACCTACCTCCCATGACTTGAGTACGATGTTGAGATGGTCGCTGCTCTTGAGGGCCATCAGGGCTTCGGCGTGGGACACGTCATCGAAACTCGTCGAATTCACCGACTTGATCTGGTCTCCAACCTGTAGATGAAAGTGTTATTTTCAACGTTATGCATGATCAGAGGAATTAAAGCTTTTTGCTTCATTAAACTGTAATTAACACAAGTATGCATGAAAAAAAGCAATACAAGAATACGTTGAATCTCATGCTACATGTATATGAGTCAAGAATCACTGACATAATCATATATGGGGACACATCTACCTGTCCCCATCGAAAAGCAAAAAAAAGAAAGAAAGACAGTGAGAGAGGGAGAGAGAGAGAGGAGGGGGAGAGAGAGAGAGAGAGAGAGAGAGAGAGGGAGGGGGGAGAGAGAGAGAGAGAGAGAGGGGAGAGAGAGGGAGAGAGAGAGAGAGAGAGAGAGAGAGGGGGGGGGGGACGTTTCAACTGAACCAAGACTTCATGTTAAGATTATTTTATTAAAATTGTTCACACTTTTTTCTATCATAGTTCCTGTCAACACCATTCCTAAATTAAAACTAGTATTTTTTTTTGGGACCTCCCTGATTACTAGTAATAGTATCTGTCTCACTCCTCTTTGCTCTCTCTCTCTCTCGCTCTGTCTGTCTGTCTGTCTGTCTCTCTGTCTGTCTGTCTCTCTCTGACTCTCTCTCTCTGACTCTCTATTTCTCTCTTTCTATTTCGGGTCATTCTCTTTTTTAAATTCCTTTCCTTACTGATCTCTCGAGCTCTCATCGCACCCCCTCCCCCGAAAAAACAACAACAACACAACAACTCCGGCTTGGTCCTATAGCTACGTCCCTAGATGTTGTTTGTTGTTTGTATAGCTTTCATCATCTTGTCATTTGAGTCGCTGAATCGAGCCCCAAACCCGTCGGCACAATCACTTATTGACCACAAAGGTGATGTGAGGTGACTCAAAACACATTAACTACTAAAAGGCGTTGATGCCGGCAGGTATAGACTGACATTTTTGGAAATATAATTATATACAGTGTATTTCTTTAAATATTATAGGTATATGACATCCCTCACTCTTAAATGTTGGTCTAAAAGTTGGAATTTTCTTTTATAACAAAAAAGAAAAAAAGAGAGTTACTGTATACAAGACTACTGTATACAAATTGAAGTAAGGCCAAGATATTTTCTGTTTTAAAATAACTGTTTTGGATGATAAGGAAGAAATTGTTCAGACAACAACAAAAAAGCAGTAAAGACGAAATCGTTCAGGGAGGCCTAATAGTAATACAAGAATATTTCAAACAACGATTAATTCTGAAATACTCATGAAGGTATATTTCTGTGGAAATATTCCTGATGGTATATTCCTTTGGTATATATTCATGATGGCATATGGCTTTGAAAATATTCATGATGGTATATTCCTTTGGTATATATTCATGATGGCATATGGCTTTGAAAATATTCATGATGGTATATTCCTTTGGTATATATTCATGATGGCATACGGCTTTGAAAATATTCATGATGGTATATTCCTTTGGTATATATTCATGAGTCATGACGGTATTTTGCTTGAAAATATTCATGATGGTATATTATTTTGGTATAGATTCATGAAAGTATATTGCTTTGACAATATTCATGATGGTATATTCCTTTGAAAATATTCAAGCTGGTATATTGCTTCGAATATATTCATGATGGAATACTGCTTTGAAAATATTCATGAAGGTATAGCATATTCCGTTTATCACATTGGCTAAAATAGGTATAAACATATTTTCCCTTCTCCTTTTCAATGTTTTCTAACTATTACCGAGTCATCTCTCTGGCATCTGTCATCCATTTATCATAATTATTTACATGATATTTCGACGTCTGATCCCCATGGGAATAAGAATTGAATGTTTGGAAGTAATATCTAGACAGGTCTAAGGCCAAATAATATTATTCGGTTTTTCGTCGTCTCCTCCTTCCTTAACTATTTGTCTATACTTGTCCATTTTTATATCATCTAAATGACATTACTGCAACGATGATCACATTTCTTTGATGCTCCCCTCCCCCTAATGCTCTACTATACAAACATGCCCATGTAACATGTGTTCCTCTTCCCTCATTGTTCCCATACCTCCTAAAAAGAAAATGGTCTTTAAGATGCATTTTGTGAGCAGAATACATAAACGTTAGCACCCATGGTTTTATAATATCTCTCTCCTTTTTTTTCATTCTTCGTGAACGAATTGAATCTGCTAAAACATGCAAAACTACAACAAGAAAATGCAACCATACATAATCACAATCCAACACACCACATCTATCAAAATAAACGTAATGTCTGAATCAACAAAATATAAGCACCATTAGTTTTATAAACTTTCTCTAGTTTTCCCCATCCATGCACTCATCACAACCAAATCCTGAAATCCAGAACGAAATCCACCTAAACCTTCAAAAAATGTATAATATTTTAAAACCTGAAGGACGTTAGCTCATATCAATAAAAACAGAAAATTAAATCCCATTTTTAGCTGATGTATGTTTGGAGCCAGAAAGGCGTCAAATCAGATTTCACGCTTTTCTGGCTCTGAACAGACATTTTTCAGTTTCGGTTTAGTTTATTTCATTTTTCACAGTCCCATTCATTACATTAATCATACACAATAAGAATAAGTTCTTGTTATTTCAAGAGATGTAATAAAAATGCATACTATTATATCAAGCCATGAAATCAATATTACAGTCAAAATTACATACGGACATATAAATACGATTGTATGGTATTTAAACTAAAATTAGACAAATATATTTGCAGTGATATATGAGGGAATCTCGTAAAAAGCTAAATTTGTAAATTGTAGATCCCTTATAAAAAAAAAGAGCCGTCTTCTGTACTCACCTGAAATCCAAGTTTTTCTGCGAGGGTACCCGGGTTGAGCTTGTGGATGAAGATACCGGGGCGATTGGTCCTGCCGCTGCTGATGCCACACCCTAATTTTTGCCCCCCTTCCAAGTTGACAAAGATGGTCCTCTCCTTTGCGATGATGTTACGGGTTGAACCGGGAAAAATCTCCGCCAGTGGGGACCGCGGCTCCTAAACGTTTTATCGAGAAAGGGGTAACAAACAAATGGGAGAGGTAAATTACTTTATTAGTTCTTAACTATCTAGGTGTTTAACACCCTCACAAACACACATAGATGGTAGAAAATAGCAGTAAAGATTATTGAAAACATACGTTTAACAAGTTAGGACTTAGTTCAAAATTGAGTTTAGAATTTACTACATTACTTACTGGTGATTTTGGTCCCGTTTTCACAAATTGCCACGAGACTGGATCCGATCCCGTGTCTTTGATTGGCACAAGTCCGATTCCTAGATCAAATAAATGAATAATTATAATAAAAATTTAATGATTAAAGTAATTTAAATACAAATCTTTGAGAGTTCATTTCTTTACTAGTATGACCGGTTTCAATTTATCAATATGATATGTCCTGTATAAAAAATATATTGGTTTTTAAATGGTTGAGAGCTCTTCACGAGAAAAAAGATATGGCAACCATTTTAAGGTTGCTCAGAAAAAAGTACTATTTGGGAGTTGAAATGTTGTTTTGATGAAACATGTTTAAGTTTGAATACATTTTTTTCTTTTTTTAAAAGCAGTTTGGAGGAAGTAAAAAATAATCTAAAATAGATGTCAAATACATTTTTCTTTTAGTATCATCAAATACAAGTACATTCAATTCTAAGTCTGATATTGCTTTAAGATATACATGGTCACTGATGATATCAAATCGGTTACTTTTGGTGTATGAAAATACAGTCAAACCTGCTTTGGTGACCACCTGTCTACAAGGACCATGGTTTTTGTTTCCATTGAAAACGTTTTCTCACTGAAACATGTACTAAAGGAACCTGTCTACAAAGACCACTTTTTTGTTTCCCATGGGCGGTCGCTGTAGACAGGTTTGACTGTAGCTATCAGAATGACCTCTGACCTTTGATCTTGAGTGTGAGCATCTTCTTTAGTTTCATGGCTGACAGCGCCTCGTTGTGTGTGACCTGAGAAACATTGTACCCGTTCACGTGTATGATCTCGTCACCCGGCTGCATTTGGGAGGGGATGGGAGAGAGAGAGGGGGAAAGAGAGAGAGAGAGGGAGGTGGAGAGAGAGAGAGAGAGAGAGAGATAGAGAGAGAAAGAGAGAGAAGGGGATAGCAGGAGGAGAGTGGAGGGAGAAGGGAGGATAGGGGAGGAGAGGAGAGTGGAGGAGAGGGGAGGAGAGGAGGGAGAGAGAAGGAGAGAAGGATGGGAGGTAAGGGAGGGAGAGAGAGAGAGAGAGAGAGAGAGAGAGAGAGAGAGTGAGAGACAAAAAAAATGTCACTAAACATGTGTCCGTTTTTTCACAATTTAATTTTTTTTCTCGGGTGTTTGCATGCATTGTGAAAAGTGGGCCTTTGTTTCGAGAAAAATCCCCCAAATGGCCCTATGTCTCATTTTTTTCCAATCGTGATCCTATTTGCTTACGTGCACGACAATGGCCTGGTATGTGCCACGGAAATTTAGAATGAGAAGGAAAAAGAGCAGATGTCAAGATAACAGGGGCACTTATCAGAGGTGATAAGAGGAAGGGGCATTTTTACAAATCAATAGGGGCACTTGTCAAAGTAAAAGGGGCACTTTTTCTATGTAAAAAAGGGGCACTTATTAGAAAGTTAAAAGGGCACTTTCCCTATGTACAAAGGGGCACTTTGGGGGTACTATACAAAGGGAGGGCACCCCTCCCCCTGGCTTCTTGGAGGGCCGCCTCAGATTTAACTTATTTATTTATTGTGATATCCAACTGTCTGACGATGTGTGCTACCATATGGCTAGGATGATATTGATCTGCTGTGATCAAGGGGCGCAGTTTGCACAGTTGCCACCGCCTATATCGGCCCCAAATTTTGTTTTATACTTTTATACATTTTGGTCTTCCCGATTTCGATAACCCCTTCCCCCCCCCCCCCCCCCACCACCCAACCCTACCGACAGGAATATTTGACCAGCCAATATATAAATTTAACTAGATCTGAAAAGATTCATGCTTTTCATCCGTATGGGAATTGCTAAAATTAATGTCCACGTATCAAAGAAGACATTTAAAGGAAACCGGACCATGGAATTCTGAAAAAACGAAAGTGTACAAGAGTAATCCGCATGATGTAATATCTTTTAGCATGGCATGGGCGCAGCTATTTTCTTGAAAATATGACGTACCAGGCGAAGTTGTCCATGTATCATGCACCAAGCATTAGTTGGTAAGACTTTTTGATTCAATAACAAAACCATTACTTTCAAATGAGGGTAAATCATAGCTAAATCATAGCTAAGAAGTTAAATATTAATGTGAAAAATATATAACAGGGGAACGATTGTAACTCGTTTATTTGAAAATACTTCAATATAGGAGTTAACAAATCTATCTTTTAGGCAAAAGATGAAGAGCACCAACTTATCTATGCAATTTGCGTTCTGCACAGGATAAGCAGGTGAATGAAATGCTTATTGACACACACCTGCGAATGCTGACCGACAAAAGGCACTGCCCGGATTTGAACCGGGGATCTCCTGTTTACTAGACAGGCGCTTTACCAACTAAGCCACAGCGCCGCTCTATTTGCACTTGAGGTACCCGGGAGAACTACTCTCATACGTGGGTGTACCACTCTAATGGGTCACTTTTTCACACAAAAATCCCTAAACATGGGTCCCATTTTAAACAAAAATATATCTCTAAACATGGGTCCTTTTTTTCCTCAAAATTGTGAAAAATGGGTCTTTTTTCGAGAAAAATCTCCCAAAATGTCCCTGCAAAATGGGTAGGGGTTTCGAGGCTTGAGCGGCACACCCCCGTCCAAACCAAATATGAGTACCCCCCCCCCCCCCCCCCCTCCGGGTGCGTTATTTTTTTTCGGCGGCACAGATTGGGGTAAGGTGCGTGTTGAGCCTACGGGAAAGTTTAGGGTTAGGGTTAAGGTTAGGGTTAGTGTTAAATCAAGACCCCCTTAAAAAAAAAAGCCCCAATCTGTGCCGCAGAAGAAAATAACGCCCCCCGGGTAAGGAAGAAGATAGTTTATCGCAAATTTTGGCTTTAATGGAGGAAAATAATGGTTGGTTAGGCTTACCCTAAGTCCTTTTAGCTCTGCCTGTGAGCCTGGCGTCACCTCTGAGATAAACAATCCGACCCCATGCTCTACTCCACCTCTGAACTTGAACCCCAGCGGCTCGGCGCCGTGGCGAGTCAGGTGAACCAGACTAGCTTTCTTGCTACAGTAAAAAGAAAAATATGAGAAATTAATAATAATTATCAAACTGACGGTGAACAGTCGGGAAGAGAGCCGTTATATTGAAGGACAAAATGTAAATAATCATTCGTTAACAAGATAAAGTTCTGCGTCTTTGACCTTTGTGCCATTTTGTTCGCTAATTTGTACCGCCCCTTGTGTACCGCTGTAAACAGATAATTAAAAAGATTATACAAAGACAAGAAAGACCCCACTTGCGCATAATTATGAACTCGAATTATTTATGTATTACGGCCACGAACTTGCAGGGTAAATATGGCAAATTACAAATTATATTTCTATTTTGGCGGAGCGAGCAATGTGGCTCAACTTTCTGACTTTACTGATGCGAAACTTTTACCGGCAACAAAGGACATTCATTGTCCTCCAAAAACGGACATCGAATGATCCTGTGAACTCTCCGAAGTGTTTTAAACTACAGTTATAACATAATAAACATCCTCTAATCAATGACAATGTAAAAATCCTTATTCGAATTCATTTTAAATATAATCCACAATTTTGGATTATCTTCAATGTTCATGTAAAGACGTTTATCAGGAACCTATACAAGCACTGCTTTTCAATAGGTTCCTCACATTCTACTTAATATATCACATGAATTGAGTATCATTGAGACGTGCTCATACTATATGTATTTATATATATATATATATATAAATTCTATTTTATGTCTATCTATATTTTTGTTTTAATGTGGAACAAATAAACTTGAACTTGAAACTTGAACTTGAACAGACAATGTGATATTATAATATTATTGTTCTGGGATTAATCCTGACAAGCAACTGGGCGTTTTTTTTTTTTTCAATCCGCATACTGGTTTACATTTATTCCCCTCTATGTAACTTACATGTTGAGTGTTATTGTTGAATGTTTGTCTCTTTGTGTATGTATTCCTTTGTATTTTATAATGTTCATTACTTAATATTTTGCATATTTTTCGACTGGAATGTCAAGAAAAGAAAAAAAAAGATATGAAATGAACAGATACAAACATAAACGTATTATATCAAAATCAGCACGTGATAATGATGATGTAAACGTCGAATTTAAACTGACATTATAATAATGTCCCATCAAATCATTGCTAATGTGAACATGACCATAACCTACAAATGGGGTTGTTCTCACCTGGGAGGTACTGGACATAGGTTATTGTATTCCACCTGTTGGTTGACCGACACGAAAGGTCGAATGTCATCGAAGAGGTTGACCCGTTCTGGAGAGGCGAGAAGGTCTTTCAGGGTGTTGACCAGAGCAGCCACATCGCGATCTCTGTTAGACAAATAATCATCATAATGGCGTAAAACTATTTCTGTGAAATTACGAGATTATTTCTATTCTGAGCATGTTTCATATTACTGTACTATGTTTCTTGAATTATTGTAATGCTGGTGGGAAGCATATTTCCACATTGTGGACGAATAAATATCTATCTATCTAACAATTTAAAAAGAGATAATAATAATATTGTTTATTTAACTTGATGGCCGAATTGCAGATTCTTTTACAATCATGATAGATAAAATGGATATATAAAGTATAACAGATAATAATGATAATATAAATAATAATAATAATAATAGTAGTAATAATAATGATAACAATTAGAAGAAGAAGAAGAAGAGAAGGAAAAGAAGAAGAAAATATTCCGCTCTTGTGTATAACGTGCCTATGCGCTTCCAAAGAGCTTTGGAAATTATTGTCCTAACTTAAAGGTAAAGACCAGTATTGGAAATGCCCCAATTTCAAAAAATGAAATGGAAGCTCTCATTACCAATCATGTGAAAGAATATGTTTTGACTAATACATGATGATAACAAATTTGCCGGGTAACCGCCTACTTATTCATATATTTGGTAAATTTGTTTCTCTCATGGTCTGTGAGAGATATAGGGTAGTCCCATATACATCTTTCTGTGTATAGTGCTTGTAACTTTACGAAGAATGGGCCAAATTTCTTATCATTCTGATGATTCCAGAACCTTGCAGATGCTAGATGCTATATGATCAACCTTTTCTGATCGATTCCACGACGTTTCTTTCACAATGCAATCGCATGACCATAACTGGTCTTTACCTTTAACATTTTTTTTCCATTTCGTTTTGATTATTATTTCATTTCGCTTTGTTTCCTTCCCTAGCCCCTTGCTGCATAAGCCAATGCTACCGAATAGTAAGTTATGCCTACACAGCTTTATTTAGACCAGCTCAGGCAGGCCTACAAATGATTATTGTTATTACTTTGCAGTTTGCACGTAGCTTGTGATTATCGGCTTGAAGCCATATACGATGATGTAAACTGCTTGAATCCAAATATGTGTCTTTCACCAACCTTACTTTACATTCCTTTCCTCGACATTTGGTAATCATAAACTTTTGCTTAGTTTGTGACGGTATAACAACAAAACAAAAAAATCAACTGGATCGTACGCCTGTAACACTGGCGGACTTAAGGGAGATCACAATAGGCCCATGACCCCCCCCCCCCCTCCCCCATAAAGCCAGTGAACATACCTTTAGTATACAAGTCAAAATTGCGCCCCCTTTTTTGCGGAATGACCCCTTTTCTACCAATCAGTTAATGTTGGAATGAACAGGTAGAAAGAAGTTTTGTTACCATATTAAAAAAAAATGTGCTCCCTCTTTCATAGAACCCTTAATCCACGCTTACATTAAATTAAAAGGAAATATTAATGAAGAGTGAGAGAAAAGAAAGGTGATTTGACACGGAGGTGTGTGTGTGTGTGGGGGGGGGCCATCTTGAGTCATGTGAGGAATACATGGGGGAGGGTAGGGTTAATAGTCTATGACAAGCATGTAGGGAGATAGTTAAAAGAAGGGGGAGAAAAACAGGTGTATACTGGACTTACTGCTGGTATTGTTTTAGTTGTGAGTAGAGCAGGGCCTGATCCTTCTCGTACTCAAGAGTTGCCTGAACCTGGGTGATTGTTGAAAAGAAAAGAAAAATGGCAAATACACAATGGTTAAACGCAAAGAAATTTCATTCAATATGATTTATTTTATTATGTCAAGTGCAATAACAACAAAAGAGTTTCATAGTAATGCCGAGAGAGTAGTTTATAGAGAGTATCGAGGCGTATCGAGGGGGTAGTTTTGGGTGTTCGAACACCCCCTCCCCCTTGGCAAACATGGGGTGTTTTACAGTGTAGTCTTAGAATTTTAAAGACACCATTTATCTATGTTTCATCTATGCCCCCTGGATGTTGAGGGAAAAAAAGGAGTGTTCACCCCCCCCCCCCCCCCCCCCCAAAAAAAAAAAAAAAAAATTTAGTAGTTACCCCCTCCCGCTTATTCACCGGCTGGCTTATTTGCCGCTAAATATTTTCTCACGAATTGGGCAAAACAAAATAATATACAGTCTTCCTTACCCCCCCCCCCCCTCCCCTCCCCCTCTCTCCCCCCCCCCCCTCCCTCCCCCTCCGCTTATTCGCAGGCTGGCTGATTCGCCGCTAAATATTTTCTCACGAGTTAGGCAAAAAAAACACCTCCCGTTAAACAAATCCTGGCTACGCCCTTAATGCCCGCCCCCTCCCCAAAGATAAATCCATGCTATTGACAATACGGCAAAAGTGAACTTCGCTAGGCTACATAATGACGAACACGACATAGGTAAACATTTGGGATAATGACATGATTCGATCAAATTTGCAAAGCAATTTCCAAACAAGAGCTGCACTGTATAATATTATACGACACTGTATTCATGTTCCAGCCACTTTGAAGAGCCAATATCTTTGGGACTAACAATAACGACTTCACAGAATTACAGAAGAACAGTACATTCCATTATAATTATGAAGTTACATCATGCCAAAACCTCCGTTTATCTTTACAAAATATTGTTTGTATTCATTCGAACGAAACTCATTTCTTGTTGGTTTCATGCGGGAAAAGAAATAATTTATCTAATTTCTTTTGGATCTGAAAAAACACTCTATACACCTAATCTTCTTTATAATAACAATTATTTAAAAATGTAAAATGAAAATGTATAAATTATAATGTCGGTATCTTTGTGATGATAATCTTTAACGGTACAACGTAATGTGAAATGGTATTTAGAGCTTGCTATGGAAATGCACAGAATTTGGAATTGTCAAACAAAACCATCACTGAATTTAAATGAATATATACTTTACCTATCAAGAATAAATCATATTTGTCACAATTATTTCATAAAAAGAGGTAAGACAAAATTATTTCAACGTAATGGGCAATACATAATTTTATACGTAATGTTTATGTTTGTATATGAGTCATAAATGGGCTTTATATAAAAATCGATAAAAACACAGCAACCGTTGTCGACCTGATTCAGTAAAAAAATTCACACAATTATTATATTGATTGGAAATGAGATGGTATACACTTTTGAGGTAATAATATTGTGGGAATTTGACCAAAAAACAAACAAACTGAAAATACCATTTCACTCATAAAACAAAATATATTTCAATCTCAATGAAAATAATAATATACATGCGAAACATCATTGTGTTTCTTGAAATTCGTTATCAGTTTTCTTTTTTGCGGAAGCAATCCTTGGCAAATAATAATAGTTTTCTTTATTTTTAACTCAAAAGACCACATAAATTCAAAGCATTCCCATTTCTTAATGAATTTAAGTTTGATTGAGAAAAAAAAGTAATTAATATTATACCGCATCAATCTACAAATTATTTACCTTTTACGCCGGCAATATGATTACTAGTATTTATATTCATTGGCTATACAGATTAGAAAATTTGATGTCAGTATCCTATTCAAAGTCAAATTGACATTCAAATTTCAATCGTTAATTTGATATGTCTATTATAAATACATTGGAGTATTCAGGAAAAATATGATAGTTCATTATGGAATACAATAATCATTAGTATGTATATACGCCTAAATCAGGCCTATAGCTATTTCAGATACATATAATACTTTAAGATGAATAGATTGAAACGAAATTCAAAGAGAAGCTAGATATATAACTATATACTTTATTCTCATATTAAACAAAAACATAATCGAAGTCCTTACCCTTTTATTAAAATCCTGCGTTATTACACTATCCATTGTGTATATTCCAAATTGTTCTCGTTTGTGAATACAATTGCTGAGCGTTTCCAAATGAAATGAGCCGAAAAAGAACAATGTCATCCGTGTAAATACAGCTATTGATATAATACAATGCAACTGCCAACAGTCTGTAATATGCGATCTAGTAAACCGACGTGGATTGATTATAACGGTAGGTATCGGCCACAGGTGTCCCGTGCCGAGCGGGTTCAAAGTGCGAAGTCCCTTTCGCTGTGCGTGCGGGGAGAAAATCATTATGAACCAGAAATATTTGCCTCGTCCCCGTTCGCGCTCTTTTTGTTTGTTGGGGCGGCTCGATTATCTGTTTCGTCTCGTCATGAAGATTAAATATTATATCGCAAATGTCAGGGTGAAAAATAAAGGATACCAGCAACAAAGGAGTCATGTATGGGAGGGGGCATATTAGCCACCCAGTTCCCGTTACAAAAGTTTAAATTATATAAAGGCTTTATAAAAGAGAGGTATTTCGGAGGAAAAATCCCGCCCCTTTTCGGGAATTCGAAAGGCCGGCAGAATATAGGATAAGTTTTCGTTGCTGCTCAAACCCCAATCCTAACCCAACGGAGCCTGCTACTTTTTTTGGGGGGGGGGGGGGGGGAGGGGGAGGGGGAAGGGGAGTTAATTTGGCCTCTGCACCCCCCCCCCCCCCCCCCCCCCCGCGCCCCATTCTCGCAAAATACTATTACAGAGCAACTCCATCCTAGCTGGCGCTATATAATACCGGCGATCGAGAGCGCAGACCATCGATGGCTCAGACTAATTTATCCGACCCCCCCCCCCTCCCCCTAGTTACCACAAGAAATCTCCCAACCCAGTACGACGTTCAAGCTCGGGGAGGGGGGGGGCAATATATCAATTCAATTATGAGTTAGTAATGACCTCTTGTCATATAATGATATGAGCGGCTAGGCTTAGCCAGCCTAATTGGCATGTTTGAAACACGGTTATGAGATATCACCGTTTACTAAACGGCTACCTGAAAATGCCAACAACAAAGGACGGATCAGAATCTATTAGATAGTGGTCAATTGCTTTGCACTTTCATTCAAACCTTCATATTTCCCCCTTCTAAAGTTCTATCATAGTTGACGTTGTATGCAAGGCGACATGGGGGGGGGGGGGGGGGGGGGGGTGTCTAGTGCACGGGACCATGACATGGACGCGTACCTGCCACTTCTGCTGGAAACTTGGAACGAAAATGATTGGACTATTCGGGGAATTAAATAAATTTCCCCTTTTCTTGCTAAAAAGCAAGCCTACTTGAAAACAAATCTAACGCCCACCCTAAATTAGTTATAAGCGTGTAGCCTACGTGATTCTCTCTAAAATGACGTGATTTTCGTAGAAATGCATATGATCCCGATTCGTAGCAGAAGGACTAACAATTGCCAATCGGTAATAATATAATATTTTATTTATTTAAAAGAAATTTATTTTACATTTATAATTCAAACAAGTAAAAATATATTTTTGATTATAATTGAAATTAATTTAAGGCATCTTTGTTGTATTATTTATATTTAAGATTATATTCAATGAGAATGAAAAAAACTCATAAACAACCAAAGGTCATTTAAATAGCGACCTACAATTTACACACAATTTCCGGTGTTGGACTCGAACAAAGACGGAATATTTGATTGTAAGTGCCTCTAAATAGCTTTTTTTTATATGATGTGTATGTCTGATTTCAACTAATGTCATAAATTGTGGTAGGAAAGTAGTTGATATATCTTATTGGTTTTGATGAGTGTAAAATATGTTGTATTTATCGTAGTTTTTCCACCCGAAGTGATAGTTTATGTCGTCAAGTTAATGCAGGTTGCCCGACTCGCCCTGAGTTTCAGTTAGACTTAGATGTTGTAATGTGACTTGTGTGTGGAGTATGATGTACGCGTCTGCGAGACTGTGCCGTGCGGCCGTGGCTGTGTGGGATGAAATCTGAACATGAAGTTTTTGTGTGCCTTCGTATTTGATCTCGAGTCCTGTGTGTGACAGTGAGGCTGTGTCTACATCTGCTAACCCTAAACACTTAAATTTTAAGTAGAATTATAAACATTTAGTGTTCATGTATAAAAACATGGTAATAATATACAGAACAATCTGACAATGGAACATGCCAAAACAAAAATGAACTTGATTTCGAAATGAAGTCGTGATGAATCATGATTGAAATTTGAAGATAATTGAATTGATAAATTCATTGACTCTTGAGTCTTGACTGTCATTTTGAAATGTTCCAACTTCCACATTGATGATTTATGTCATGTCATTGTAATTGGACATTGCCAAGACAAATTTGCTCTTTGTTTACCAACTTATTCATTTTGAGGTTTTAAAAGAAGGACAGGAGTCTATCGCTCTATCATCATCATCTATCCATTATTTTATGTGAATCTCCACTCTACATTTTTTTACTTTCTGCTCGTTTTTAAATCAATTTTCATACAGTTTCTCATGTTCACAAACAAAGGGACTTTGCAGACACAGTTCCTCCCAATAAAATGGGACAGTGATACGTGATGGACTTAACAGTTTACACAGCAATAAAACCGTCAACATGGCCAAAGTGAACCATATTAAAAAGAAAGAAGGAAAACAAGTTAAAGCCAATGCCAAAATGCTCATGGAATTGAGAAGTGCTGTCATCATTCTGGCATAGAATTCTAAATTCTGCTCAACCCTTTACAAACAAAAAACAAACACAGAGATTGAGCGATAGATATTTTGTGCATGATTCACAAGACTTATCTGCTTCCTCTTTGTTTCTCTTTGTATCTTTCTATCTTTCCTTTCTTCCTTCTTGTCTGTTTTCTGACTGCATGTCTCTCTGCCCCCTTTTCTCTCTCTCTCTCTCTCTCTCTCTCTTTCTCTTTTGTCCATTTCTGAAACAGAGCTGTGGTCTAAAAAAAAATTAATTCATAAATTCACACAGATCGCAGTAAAGATACATTTTCATAATTAATATCTTGAAAATTGTATTGTAGCTCTTGTAAACAAAATTATTGAATACTATGACTACTTTCTTTTCACAAAAAATGATATCCGTCTTGCTTTCTGTCATTCCGACTGCAGGTTTATCACACATGAGTGTCTAGAGACAAGAAGAGAAGAAAAAGGAGAGGAGTCAGGAAATTTTTGTTTGAGAGGCTGTCCACAGAACACTGGGCAAGGTGGAAGGCCCGGCACCAAGAAGTGGTGCTTCTCGAGCTCTCCCTCTTGGCAGGACGCAAGAGACACCACAACAAAATTACCCAAGGTAAGCTTTTGTAACCCTGTAACCCTGTAAACGATCATTGGCCAATCAGGTGAGATTGGATAATAATTTCAATAATTTTTGTTTTTGTTTTTGTTTTTTGTTGTTGATGGTCTACGTTAAAGTTTTGGGCAATCAAATGCTAAAAGAACATGCATAGCTGGGATTATTTTGTCATTCGGAGTTTTTGTAGACCATGTTTGTTAATATTTAGTGCCTTTTCATGTCTTTGAAATTAATAATATTGGTCTAAACTCTAAGATAAGAGGCAAAACATGCGAGCTGCCATCTTGGATTATAATGTAGGCATGCAATTTTTTGTCCAATTAAAATCTAAGATGGCGGTTCGCATGTTTTGCCTCTATTCTTAGACTAATATTATCAATTTGAAAGTCATGAAAAGGCACTCGATGATAATTTTTTGGGCCGATACTGATCACAGGTGCGAGAGTGTCGCTCCGATCTTCCAATCCGATCAAAGCCCCAACTTACAGGGTTGAGCTTTTGTAACCCTTGTAAGTTGTATTGGATATGAAGAGGCTGTGCACAGCGAATTTGGCAAGGTGGAAGGCCTTGCACCAAGAAATGAGAAAGATGAAAAATAATAGAAAATTTACAGGAAGAGAGAGATGACAGGGAGAGGGTTAGGGAAGGGAGAGGAAGAGGGATGGGTAGAAAGACTTGATTATACAGAAATTAGATATTTTGTGGATGTTATGATATACAGAAAGAGCAAAGCCAAAGGTAGAGGGAAAGAGAGGGAGAGACACATACATTGTAAACAAAGCAACAGGTATGTTAATACTTGAAATAAAGAGACAGAGAGAAGGACAAAGAGGGTGGATGAGGATGAGAGAAAGAGGGGAGAGGGGAGAACGAGAATGAGAGATAAAAAAAAAACACCTAAAAACCAAAACATCATACTCAGAGAGATGTTTGTAACAAGAAAGCTACATGTATATGGTGACACACAAAGATTAACCATAATTTATCATAAAAACATAAGAATAATAATACAAAATTATACAAATATGGAAAGAAGCAATAGAAAATACATGTACATAGAGTGACAGAAAGAGGGACAGAGAGACAAACAAATACATAGCTTGGAACTTGAAGACCGAGAGATGACATCATACCCTTCTCTAATCTCCACAACCTTGGGTACTACTCAGTAGTATCAGCGATACTTCCCTCTTGTCTCTGTAACTACAGTGTAAATAGGAAGTCACAACTTATCTTGCACCAGGTCTCAGTACATGAAACAGTATACGCACATGTATGCCCTTGGTAAAGGTAGTTCCTGATAAATAGCAATGTCCTGTGTCCTCATTAGCAGGACAAGCGAGCAATTTGTGCATGTAACTTTTGTCACTGACTTCTAGATCTATGTTCATGTGTTTTGTATAGAAGTATGTCTTGAATCCATTGTGAGTGCGGCAGGGAAACAAATATTTAATTTTTTTTGAGGGCTTAGCTACTTTTCATGAAAAGTACTTGCTTGCATGAAAATAACACTCTTTAATTTGCTTTGCATTGAACTCTATGCAAATTTTGGGGGGCTCTTTTTGACATTTCGGGGGCTAATTCGCCCTGAGCCTCCATGTATTTTTTCCCCTGGAGTGTGGTTGATGATTTATGTGTACTGTACTACTGTTCATGTTTTTCACGTTAGACTTGAATATGACTTCATGAAGTTCATGTACATGTTCATGAGGTATTAAATACATTTAACTCCTGTAATTAGACAGTAAGTTTTGCACCCACACATGCTTTTTTTTAAACCTGGGATTGAATTTTTAATGAAATGTAAATTTATGTGATTTTTCATGGAACACTAATATTTTTAAACTAAAGGGATGCAAAATATTTGAAGAATGAAATATATATTCTGAATCATACCTACCGTACATGTACTTAGGCCTTCGTCTACATACAATTGTACATGATCATGCCCAT